CTGGTGCCTTTGAACCACTGACCTTCAGGTTAGTAATCAAGGGCCTTATCCTCTATGCCACCAGAGCTCCTCCAAGTATAGGAAAGGTCAAGGTTAATTAATTAATTTATTTTTTCCATTTAGATGTCTAGTTGCTCTATCACCCTTTCTTTTTCTGACCTGCAATATCACATTTGTCATAAATCAAGTGTAGACCTATTTCTGGACTCTCTATTCTCCCCCATTGATCAGCCGTACTCAAAAAAAGGAGCTATGTTCTTCCTACTCATTTTGAGTTTTTGTTGTTATAACAAGGTGGAGAAGTGAGGGAAATATGTGGTTTATAATTTCTTTACAATTTCAAGAATTTTTGGTTGAACCGAAAGTCTCAGAACCACCTACTTTGACTTTTAAAGGGAACAAAAAGAATTTGCTCCCTAAACACTTGCTCTCTTATACCAAAATCTGTCACCCCATACAGTCTAATTCTAGGCCTCCTCCCATATCCATTGCCAACTTTCACAATTTTTAACTCTGAGTTTTCTAAGGGACTTTCAACTTAATAGCTGAAGTCTTAGCATAGACATTGCAGCTCAGTTTTGAATCTGGCAATACTCCTGTTAACTTTAGCCTAAGGCCAACAGGTTTTTTTTTGTAACAGGAAAGGTCTATGAAAAGAGTTGAGTAAGGACCAATGGGAGGGAGTACTTTCCTTCCAAGGCTTAGAAACACTAGTCTGGTAGTTTCACACTGCATAGCCATCTCCTAATCCATGATTGCATTAGGAGGTCATAAATACTTCAAAAATGTGATCAAACCTATAGATTCTCTGCCTAGCATTGCAAGTATACACTTGCACACAATATATTTCCTTTAATTTCTGATGACCTATATGCAGATGACCTAAAATCTGTCCCTGTTATGAACATATGTGCCAGTTGAACCACTACCTCTTAAGATTCAGCTTATTTATAATATGACTTGTCATGTTTTCCTTCCTAATTTCTCTATTTTAATAGTAAACACAAAAGGAGCTCTGGTGGTGTAGTGCCTATGGCATTTGACTGCTAACCAGAAGGCTGGCAGTTCAAATCCATCAGCCACTGCACAGAAGGAAGACTGGGCAATCTACTTCTGTAAAAATTACTGCCTCAGAAGCTCAAATGGGGAAGCTGTGAGTCAGAACCAAATCAATGGCAGTGAATTTTTTTTTTTTTTAAATGGTAAATGGGGGGAAGGGAGGAAACTGCAAACATCAAAATAAAATGAAAAAAAAAAAACAGTAAACAGGAATAAGTTCATAGGCATGTAAGTTTAAAATATTAGAATTATTTTTGATAAGGCTACCTATCCTTTGTGTTTAAATTCAGTCAAATCTGTCTGCAAGTTCTACTATGTCTATCTTTGAGGCATTGGTTTATGGTTGTTCATTTATTTCCATTCCTAATTCCATTGTCTTATTCTGGGTTTTTATTTACCTAGGATTTTTTGCTTTAGCCTAAAGAGTTAACTTTATTGTCTAGTATTTTAGCTTCTCATGTTCTTTATTCAATGCATCTCCAAACTGTTGTCTATTTTGTATCTTAACGTGAAAGTACAAGTATATAATTTTTTGACTCAAAAGCTTTCAATGGCTCCCACTTTCCCAAGAATAGAG